AAGTAAATTTCAAAGTATTGCAATCTTCGGGTTTTCGCGCACCTCAACATGCGAAATTAAGCCTGTTATACCATGCCTTCGTTATAAATTTTAATCGATTGAGACTGGCAAGAACTTTTTTCCTGTGAAATTTTGAAAAAAAAAACGCGATTTTCATCTGAGTATATGCGGTAAAATTAACGAATTTCTGGAAATTGACAATGACATGTTGCCCAGCTGCCCTTGTAGAACATTCTTGAATTTTTAGCAGGACTTCTGAGAAACCCCTTTTTTTGGGTGATCTTTAATGGGATCGTGATAAGAAGGATGTCGGTAAGCTGTGATCGGGAAATTTCGAAGTAATTTTTTTTACCGAATCCTTCCATGTCCGAAAACTTCAATTTAATTCTACCCACTGATAACGAGGGATTTGTTCTCAAAAATCAAAGTAAATGGTTTATTTTGAACGTTCATCTTGTTTTTTTCCCTCTCATCTCGAACTTGTGTTTTTTGATCGACTCGTTTCCCAAGAGAGAATCGAATGCATTATTTTTTTCAACATTTCCTCTTCATTCATACGAAGTTCCTCCGTTTCGCTCCATTACCAAAGAAATTTAATTTTCGTACGTCACCTGTGTTCCTTGTCGATTCATGGCCTAACATTACTTGAAAGCGTGTTTTTGGGAAAGATGGTGATGGAATACTTTCTTTGTCTCCGTTTTTTCGGTGTATGTGCGACAAAACGCAGTCTTCGAACTGTCCTCCGCACGTTTCCCAGGTGAGAGATCATCTTATGTGTGTTGACGGCATTTTGGTTGGTGTATGTGTTATTTTTCAACTTCACGTCTGACCTTGCGTTTCAAAAAAAGTCTGGTAGATGTCGTCTGATTTCTGTACGAAACTTGTTATTGTATGTAGGTGACCACTGCGGCTGTTTTCACGAGTAGTGTGATTTTTCACGCTTTCCTAAACGATTTAGAAAATAAGTGTGGGGCAGTTCAAATGATCAGATTATTTCAATCGATTATTGGTGTCATCTCCTATCCTCCGCTTTTTTTCTTGAACATTTCAGCAGACCTTATTTTGGTTGTGGAGGAATCACAACATTTTAAGACAGATATTTTTCATTTTATTCCTTCGTGTGACAGAATGCAGTTTCATAATTCACTTTCATTCAGTTTTAAATTGCAGAGAGAAAAGAATCGGCTATTTGAAGCGTAGGTTTTTCGGGGATTGTGCTTCATTTGTCTTGATTGAAGTGATTAGCATTAGTGTTTCGCTAGTGGAATCCGAGTTGGATGAAGGGGATTTTTCGTTTTGGAGTCGGAATGAAAAAATAAAATATTGGAGTGCTGCTAATTGTAATTGAAAAGTTTGAAACATTGCGTCGAAGGTGTGAAGAATGATTTTCAAATGAAATCGGTCTGTAAATATTATTTCCGAACGACCGATATTTCTCATTTTTTTGGAAATGCTCGTGGAAATCAGACACGTTTCGCGTCATTTGTGTATGCCTTTAAAGTTTTGCAATATTTGTAATTGCATGTTTGAAGCACAGTCCGTTGTACAGACGTTGTCGTTGCGCAAACTGGTCTTCTCAAAAATCTTCGCCGAAAGAGAATTTTTATTTCAGCGTTTTCAGTACCGGTGTGAATAATTCGCCAGCTAATACAGGTGAACACTATCTTAAGAGATTTTCTCAGTATAACGATTTTTCGGACCCAAAGCGGGTTCTATCCCCATATTATAGAGGTTCTCTACAAGGAATTTTTTCTGGTCCCTTGAATTTCGTTGTGGAGAGAGAGAGAGTTCACCTTTACAGCGACAATGACGCAGGTGTCCTAAATTGTTTGTGCTGCTACAGTTGGATTTTTTAATGCATCAAGTGCATGCGTTCCGAGCCGTTTTAAAAAACTTCTTCGACTTTTTTTTAATCTTCGTTGGCAGTAATTGAAACGAATGACGCCTTTTGGTTGAATTTGTGCGTGTTTATTTTCTTTGCAGTCCGACGATGCTTTCGACAGTGCGAGCAGAGTGGGATTTGATCCTGCGCAAGCGAGTGTGACTTCGGTGGTTGAAATCCTTCAGTCGCAGCTGTCCAGGCGTGAAGGTAGTGCATCAAGTCTTCTTATCCTTCACTGATTTGATTGAATGTTGCGGTGGGCCCACGTGGAAGTCATTTTGCCACAAGATATTCGAAACTGCCGAAACCCGTTTGTTTGGCTTCTCAGCTTCACTTCGTTCCCTTGCTGTTGTGGATGATGTAGTGAGAGGAATGACTTGAGGAGACAGGAAAACAGAAGACTGAGTTAATTCTCCAGCTGGAAAATTAATGTGCTAATACAGGGGGTCATCAGGCATTTCCCTCTTGTACAGGCTCAAAAATCCTTCTGACTACTGCTCCCGGGAACTTGCAAAAATCCACGCAAAATCTTTCATTTTTTCTCTCTCTTGCGCATAGAAAAAAGCAACAGAAACTCCAGTTGAAATTTCCGCTACCAAAGAAAATCGCGCACCAAAGCCTCTGTCCCTCAGCAGCATCCTCACCTATTTTTCCTTGGCCAAACCTGTGGTATACTGTATTTATGAAAAAAAAGCAAGAAAAAAAGGCATAAATTAAATCCTCAAAATCTCTAATGGAAACTCATGTTTTCTGCCACAGATGCTGTATGCAGCAGTATAGTCAAATCTAAATTTAGTGCCATCATTTGTCCAGGCACACTCTTTTTGGCACTAAGCAAGAGTGGAACAAAATTGAGGGTATTGTTTTGAGAGCAATGTTCAGTTCAGGGCAAATAAACTTCCATACAGAACAGGTAGTGCACTGATGAATTAGGAAAATCTCAGTATGAAACATTTGTTAGTGTAACAAACTTTTTCTGATGTCCTTGGAGGTTTCTTGTAATGAGATTTTCCTGTACAGTGCAGTATTCACACGCATTTGTGTGCATTATCAGAATTTTTAATGCTAGTTGTGGCTCGTTTTATCAAAAAATAGCACTATCTTTCTGAGTTTTAGGTAAAATGAAGTGTAGGAGCATTTACGCAGCTTGCAAGTGATAAAAGTTCTCTTCAGAGACCTTCGCGTTGTATGTTGGTTTTAACTTTTAATCAAGAGAAAAGATGAACAATGTGCTTGTGTGCCATTTTTAATGAGACTGACAATTTCATCATCCACGCATGCAAAATTCACTGAAGTAACATTATGCAAAACAATAGCAAGTTCTGTAACAGATAAAATCAAAATAACCAGTCTGGTGCGTGTGGTGCACCAGAGTATATCAGAAAACAACAGTTGCTTTGCAAAAAATACATTAACAATAATTCAAAGAACACAGAAAGAAAGGCAATTCAATTTGCTACAAGACAATACCCTGGATATCCGATTTCACCACGATCATCAATGAACATATTCATTTGTGGCCACGCAACTTCTCAATGAGCAACTTCAGAAAAAACCTACTTCTAATAAATGCTTGTAGGCAGACAACAATGTCGCATTTAATTCTTGCAACAGCTAGCGAAATTCTTGAATTTTTTTTTCAGTATTTATTTTTTTTTAACGCTTCAAGTTTTCGAGCTGAGGTATGAGGAAAATGAACGACGGGTGTCCATTAGTCGGTGAATCATTGTCCGTTTGTATCTTTGTTTTCTGCAGGCGAAGTGTTGCAGCTGCAAAGGGAAGTGGAATATGTCATTGACTCTAATAACCACATGGCTGAACCAGCCTCCAAAACTAGCAATATAAAAACCCCTGCAAATCTCTCCCAAAGTTAGTTGATCACAGATCCTCTTCAGGAGTCAGAGATTCGTTTAGGCTTCCCTCCAGACGCATTGTCTTGGTTTTGTCTGAGTTGTCTTGTGCTTGAATAAAAGCATTTATTGGGTGAAAAGCCTGTCTATTTTCTCAAAGGTCTCGCGTCGTTGGAAAACACCTCTCCGCGATCAAGGGGTTAAGAACCTCTAAAAGAGCCAGACACTCTTTTAACGTTCCCTTAGTTTATTCATTGTTGTTGTCTTAAAGTAAAAATAACGTAAAAAGGATAACAGTACAAAATGCTGAAGCCATATACATACAGTACTGTGTATTTACCGTCCCGTATCAGAAAAGACTCGTCCACTTATGTGTGAAGACTTATATATACCTCTTTATTTATATGTTCACAAGAATTTTTCCATACAGTTGAAAAGTCTTTTTATTGAGGTCGTGTTCTTTATATATGTACCATCTCATATATATACAGTACATCCGATGGTGGATTTTGTTTGTATCAGGATCCATTGTCATCATCAGCATCATTAGTATCAGCTGTGCTGCAGCAGGCGACATGAACAGCCTGCGATCCGCGGCATCGCAGTTCTTGTCGGGGATCGCAGTCGGAGGCGCCTTCTTGACGGGTTGCGCCGTTTCCTTCCTGGCCATCGACGCCATCCTGACGGCGGCATTCCCGAATGGCCGCTTCCACGTTCACCCCGCGGCGGTTCTCGACCGCATCAGGAGGTACAGTGTATATACATCAGCACTTGTGTATTGTTCTGCTTGAGGAAAAAGCCAGGATTAGGTAAATTAATATACTGTACTGTACTCACTTAGTTCCTAAATGAAAAGTTCCTCTTCTGAATGAGAAATATAGGAAAATCAGAAAAACTTAGGGTTCATTTCTTGGGAAATCATTGAGTTATTACTGAGAATCACATGCCCATGCTCACGATAATTTGTGAAAATTTTTTTTTTCTGAATTGACACATGATTATGGGTGCAGGTGCAATTCACTGCACTCAAACTTGCCACCAGCGCCTAACCTGCCACTGCTGCATAAGTGACTGCAGCCTGAAGTCACCGCAATTTTAAGTTGCCACAACACTGGCTTGCTGCTGTAACTATAACTTGCTGTAGCTTATGATTCAAACAGAAGGTATTGATTCTTGTACATTAGTCAACCCTATCTACTTCAGGTTTCAAGGGACCAGCAAAACAATTCAATTTAAAAGGTTTTGGGTTATAGAGGTTTGAGTTTTTGAAGCAAGCTTTTTTGTTATCTGAAACATAACATAATTGCAGGAAATCATAAATGGTTACATTCTGGGCCTTAAATTGATTCTAAAATGAGTTGGCAGGGTGTGCGGAACTTATTGGAGGCGGAGGTCCATTTGACAAATCTTGTTGTTGACTCATCCCTTGCAAAACACATCAAATTCCATATTGCATTGCTTTTCTCTTTCCTTTTCAAGAAAACAGTAGACGAAAGGCCTCAGAAAATTCAACTTACAGAGTTCGAGAGGAAATGCCTTTGAGTTTGGGAGGTTTCTAAGGGGATTCGGACAGGGACTGGAAAACAAATTCAATTTATAGGGAGGTTTGAGTTATCAGATTTCAACTGTGATTAACCTTATTGACAGCACATGCACTGTACCGCATTGCACAACAGGAGTAACAGTTGTACAATAAAAAAATAATAATAAACCCTGCCAGCAAAGATCAAGTGTACATTAGCTTGCCAACAATTTATCAGGTGAGCATGTGGATACATTTGTTGAAACTCCCTCCAGATTTTCTATAAAAGGGTTCTTTATTCATGTGATTCAAGCAACTTTTTGTGCCATAACTTCAAAATTGAGGACTTCAGACACATCCGAAGTGAACCCTTGAAAGTACTTTATTTCACTTACAAGCTGGGGGTGCCCAGCCACACCTGGGCATTGGACAGATTTTAAATGTTAAAATTTTGATCAGATCACACATGCAAGAGAGCATGCCCAGTTGTGTGGCCCAGTCACATCTCTGTGCATGAAGTTAAAAAAAGAATGATACTAAAGCTGGTTACTTGTTAAAGGACCACCGGTAATTTTGTAATTGTGCTCAATGCGCCAGTTGTGGCCCAGTGGGCCACAACTGGCACATGAGCAGGGGGATTTGGGTGCCCAGCCACA